GTAGCAGACGCTTTGTTAACTTTAGCGACAGTATTTTTATTAAATTTATTTTATTTTGGAATAAAAAAATATTAATTAAAAACCTAGCAGGTCCAAAAAATTCATAGATGTAGATTTTCGTGCATTTTTCCCAGCACGCGAGTATCAAACTTTATCCTCGCAGCGACCACTTCGTCGATGAACTGCATCTCAACGACTGCCAACATTCGCAAGAGCAGCACTTGCGCGATCAGCTAGAAGCAAGAATAATATTTAATGCCTCACATACCCCCGCAACTACATACATCTATAACACCACATACATACATCCCCATTCAGTTGCCTACAGACACTTTCAGTTTTTATTTCTTTGCGACACAAGGCAGAGCAACTCCCATGCAAGTGTTCCATGAAATAAAAAGAAAATCCTTAAGAAAAAGAAAAAAAAAGATTTTCATCGCCAAAGGCAGCTAAACATATAACTGACAGGCATATAGCAAATATCCTAGCATTCGTATGTGTATGTGTGTGCATTTCTTGTACAAAGATCAGATATCCTTTGTGTCAGTGAAGCGAGAAAATTGTATAGCTACGATGGAAGCGTAAGCACAGAAGAACAACAATAATTCTACTTTCAAATAGAATAAAGTATATGGAATATTTTTTTTGTAAGGATATAACAGAAATAAAAGGACACAAAACCTAATAGCAAAAACAATGCCTGTTGTGTAGGTTTTCCTGCGACAACAACAAGTCACAAGCAAGAAACACAATAGTGTAGAAGAAAAGAAATGAAACGTAGGAGTGCACATTCGCACACACGCATCTTTGAAGGATCTAAGAAATACAAGAAAATTGTACGCAAGGAAATGAAAAAAAAATACTATGCAATTGTGTAGGAGTAGAATCTAGATAAATTTTGTAAGTCAGGTAGCTCGGCATAGCCAGGATGCTGCTGCTGCTGCACTGGCACGAATTTGGAGTAGGGGAAAAATCCTGTGCGCAGGTTTTATGTACATAGGTACTCAGCGCGCTGAGGTTAAGGTGAAGGTTATCTGTTGCATTTTACAGTTGATTGTAGGTTAACAGTGCGCTGTTGCTGATTAACATACGTCATCTATGCAGAGAACTTGTTGCTCTGTTATGTGGGGGTGTTTCGTATGTTAGAGAGCAGAATTGGGCTCTGAAATGTAATGTTCTGCTTGGAGTTATTTGCGGAGAGAATCACAGAATAGTATGCATCAACAAGAGCGAGAATGATATGACATTTGTATATACATACTAGGGATGCTAATTTTTTCGTTTTTTACGATCCCGGGATTTTCGGGATGTCGTTATCACAATTTCGGAATCCTGGGATTAGTCCCGCGATTTAGATATTCATTACTTTTCAACAACTTAAATCGAAAAAATTACTTCTATATTGTTTGAGAAACTCTCCCACCATGAAATAAATAATAAATAAATGGGTTTGATGCCTACTTTTTTATTGAAAGTGGCGTTTTTATTTTTTCTCTCTGACCGCAGGATTTATTTTGAAGGACTTTGTAATTTCAAAAATATGATTGATTCCAAAAAATATTAGAAAAATTCAATGCAATGTAGAATAAAAATATGGGTACCAAATGAAAGAGGAAACTTCTTTAAAATTAAAAAAAAAAATAATAATTTTTTGGATTCACAAGGACGAATAGGTAATTTTTTAAGCTGATAAAGTCATAAGGATAAAATTCGAGCATGTTATATCCTTAACATATAATTTTTTCAAAAACAAATATTGTGAAATTTCAAGGATAAAATTTATAAGGACTTTTTCAATAATTACCAGTCCTTATGCACCAGCAAATTTAATCTGCTTAAATTCTACAGAATTTCCTTTTTAATTTGGTACCCACACTTCTTCTCTAAAGACATTTCACTGAATTTTTTAAATCATTTGGCTTATGGTTTCGCGAATATATTGATTTTTGTGTGTTAAATTTGCTATCGCACGGTGTTATATGTATACTGAGCTAGAGATTTACAAAAAACATATTAATTATTAAACAAGTAATTTTTAGCAAAAAAAAAACCTCCTTCAACTCTCATATAAAAAAAAATATATATATATATATCTCATGATCCACTGATCGGATCTTAACCAGATTAGTATGGGACCACCTCTGAGACATTACCTTTCCGATGCAAAAAGAATTATCGAAATCAGTTGACGTGGTCCAAAGTTATGCGGTAACATACATAAAAAAAAAAAAAGATTCCGACGAACTGATAACCTCTTCCTTTTTGGGAAGTCGGTTAATAAAAAAAGAAATATAGCCAATACTGGTGAAGAAAATGAATTTCTATTATTGCCATCAGTGCAAATTACAAAACCCGAAAATCCCGGGATTATTTGCCAAGAATCACGGGATTTTCGAAACCTTAAAAAGGCCGGGATTAACATTCCTAATACATACATGACTTTTCTTAATGCTTACATAGAGTTACATATCATTTCATTAACTTAAAGAAATGTTTAATTTGTTGCCTTAACCTGAGGGACCTAAGAAGAACTCGCAAAAATATTTCCAATTCAGAAGCGTCAGTTGTTTACACCTACTATATACATGCAAATGTATTAAAAAAGGAAATAAAGACGTTCTCGCACGCGGTTTTTGCAAAAAAAAAAATCTTGACGAAGACATTACTGAAGAAATTTCTAGTTGACTGGCAATTTCCTCTGTTTTTTTACAAAGTTCCATTATCTATTCAAACCAGTTGGAGATATATTCTGCTGCAGTCGTCCTTGAATTGGGTTCGTGGACGTACTGTTTTCGTTGTCTAAGAATATTTTCACCGGAGCTACTTCATCTATGAGTACAACATACCCAGAGCGCAGGTGTTGAATATATAGTTCAGTTCCATCTTCCTTGGTACTCGTCACACCACTCGCGAATAGGGCCAGATATGTGTACTATATTTCTGCCGGAATCGCAGGAAGCATTTTCAGCTTTATTGGATATCATCTACGTTTCTGGGCCATATAAAAAGAGATTTTTAGAGCGTTATTTTTGGTTCTTCGAAAGAGACCATTGCTTCTCAATTGCCCAGCGAGTCGAAAACAGTACTTGTTGTCAAAAATGTTGGACTCAAAATTCATAAAGACCTTTATTTCTTGAAAATTTTACTTGCGAACTGTGACGTTTGCCTAGTATCTAATCAAGGGCCTCAATCTTTCACATGGCATCGTCAATTAGAAATTACATGCGAAGTTGAGAAAGTGAATCCCGCGGTAGCTTGCGCAACTAGCAAGCTCTTATTTCTTATGACTTGGGCACAGTATGTTTTCTAATTTCTTTAAGACCAAGCTCAGTTTAATAGCTGGTAATTAGGCCCCAGCAACTCTTCGACGCCGCGCTTGAACAATTCGGCGGTGTTCCACTTTCTTCTGGGATTTTTTTTTTTGCGCCACCTCGTCTTTGGCGCTTGTTCCAAAGCAGACACGCGCTTGATGCTACAACTATTAGTAAACCGACGCTCGTAACTTCATTGAGCTCTTAAACCGAATGGCAAAGTTCACTCTTTTTTAACCGTGAATATTTGTCGAGTTAAAAAATGTTTGTTGGTATAACATAACACAGTGTAGCGTTGTGGACGAAGATATCTAGATGTCAATGTCTTTTGAATGCCAAATTTTCATTAGCTACATATCTCTAATTTGAGCCTAGCGCTTTCCTCATTCCAAAGCGGATCCCGGGCTTACACTTCATCGAATTCTTTACGTTGCGTCTAAAACAGGCACTGCATCAGGATCTGAAGGCTACATATATCGAACACAGTGGGGTAAATTTTCACTTCCAGGTTGGAAAACATACCTCGGTATTGCAAGCCGGTAGAAGTTTACGTATTTGCATTGATGGCTAAGCTGGGCTCCAGGCATGATCAGCTTCTAATGTTAAATGTAATGCAAAGTTAATGTTACTCTCAGCTAAAGTATATTACCAGGCATTAATTAGACCTCAGTCCGTTACAGTCCTCACATCATCGGCCATCCGTTAGAACCTCAGTGAATGTTAAATTGAACTATGACTGGGAGGCCTCAAGGGGCTGAAATCGGGTAAAACTCATATTTCTTCCAATCCCATTGCTTCCATTTAGCAGATGGGACTGCAGATAACTTGCGGCATAGCTAACTGGTTACTTCTCGAGGCACATAAACCTGACTGTCGACAGCATCCAGGCCAACCTTACTTTCTCAACTTGCCTAGGTATACGTCTTTTGGCAGCGACGTGTTGAAAGACTAACACCTAAGCTGCTTCGATTTATTCGTAGATCGCGCATATTTAAAGAGTAAAATCGACTCCATTCATTTGAAGCAATGGAATTGGCAGTTATGAATGCTCGGATGATAAGAGCCCCCTACATTGCACATATTAACAATATACATACATTCATGTGCACATATGGGCGTACATATGTACGTGAGTATGTTGGCACACGTCACTTTTTTTTTGTTAAAAGATTGGCCTTTTCGTTCTGATTGCAAGCCAACATTGTCGCTGTTAAGCCACTGTAACCTGCGCATCACAATTGTACAAACTACAAATTCAAAAAACTGTTTAGTCCCCACATAACACAACCAACTGCCTAAGGGGCCCTAAAAAATATTCTTATTAGCTGACACTCTCTCTCTGTATCTTGCCGCTCGCATTTTTGTGCTCCCTCTTATTCACTACCCTTTTGATTACACTGTAATGTGGTGTTGATCCATCGCAGCTCTAAACGAAGAACCCAATTTATGTTGAGGTGCGCGCGAGCAGTTCATGGCACTGGATCGAGAACATTGCTAAGGCACGATCACTTGCGCCACTGTTTAACCCTCTGTCAGCGCATTGACAAGCAACAGGGGAGGAAGCAGGTATGCTACGTACTCACACTGTACTCAATGGAGTGGCACTGTAGGCGAGAAGAGTGAACAGAGTTGCTGCTATGTTGGCTGTTGCTTCATATTGAAATTGTACTTAAGGCGCTACCAGAGGACGAAGGGAATCATTACGGCATTTGATTTCGTAGCAACACAAGCTCGTCTTAGAACAAAACCGAAGAAAATAAAGTAGAAAGTAGTAGTTGAAAATCAGTGCAAAGTCAATCTAATCAAAACCGAGAAAGAAGTTGTATTAGTTCAAATTTTTAAAACAAAAACGCCCAAATAAATTTCGCATAAAAATGGCAAGTGTTTGCATGCCACAAACGGGTTACCAGCAACATCAACAACAACACCATTTTCAAATGTTGAACGGCAACATAATGTTGCTACAAAAGGCGCAACACCAACAACAGCAACTGCAACAACAAAACCTCCACACCGCCGCCTATCAACACAAGAAGCACCAGACCATCGCACCCGCACCAAAAGTTTTGGGCAACAGCAATCTTCACAACATCCAAGTGGGTGCCGCAGGTGGTGTTGGTGGTGGCATGTTGCCGCGCAAGAAGTACACCTACATGAATGTGCCGTACGGCGAGCAGCTGCCATCGGTGGCACGTCGCAATGCGCGCGAACGCAACCGTGTCAAGCAGGTGAACAACGGTTTTGCCAACTTGCGTCAGCATCTGCCACAAACGGTGATCAATACGTTGTCGCATGGTGGACGCGGCGCCAGCAAGAAGCTCTCCAAGGTGGATACGCTACGCATTGCTGTCGAGTACATTCGCGGTCTGCAGGATATGCTCGACGAGTCACAGCCAGCCGAAAATAAATTTCATGCCGGCACACTCTGCGATGAGTCCAGCAACGATGGCAGCAACTATGGTTACTCCTCGATGGGCAGTCCCAGTGAAGCCGCCTACAATCAGCTGCAACAATCCTATCACTC